TCGAAACGTACACACACAAGCCTACTGACCTCAGGCAAGCTCATGATTTCCGAGTGGTCTGCCTGTCCTTCCAACGGCAAAATGTTGTACGGACGTGCTTCAACCGCGTGGGTCTCGTAGGGATCCAGATAAACGGGTGGGGGTGAGTCGTGACGATCGACCCATCCTGCTATCCCATCGGGCACGTTGCTGTTGAGCTGTGGGGTTTTCCTCCCTCCTCCTCCTCCTCCGCCGCCGCCGCCGGAGCTTCGCCGCCCAACGCTCGGAGGGGACTGCACTACTACGCCCATCGACGCCGCGCTGCGCATGGGTGATGCCTCTTCTGTGCCACTTGGCAAGGATTCTCTTCTCCCAGACGGAGGATATCTTCCTCGAGAGGGTGTAGTACCATAGGAATCTCTCCCACCATCATCGGATGTTCTACCATCCCCTCCTCCATATGCAACAGGAGTCTTCGGGCCCCTCACAGACCCCCCACCTCCCCGTCTCTCGTCTCCCCCCCTTCCTTCAGCCCGACGCTCGCTCCCTTTCCCTGACAGCAAAGCTCTTTTGTGATCGTCACTTCCTTCTTCTTCCTCTTCGTGCTCGGTCTCATACTGACCCCCTGTAGGCGTAGGTCCATAGTCGGCCGTCGGACCATAGCCGCCATAATCGGGATCGCGACCGCCGCCACTAGCCATCTGGATTTCTTGCTGTTCGACGTGAGTCGTCGGACTCTTCCCCTCCCTCCCCCTTCCTCCCCCTCCTCCTCCTCTATAGCCATCCGATGGACTGAAAGGGGACTCTCCTAAGCCACCGGAGTACTGTCGGGGGGTGGCAGCGTAAGGACCGCCGGCAGGGCTCGGCCGCGCAGACACCGCCGGACTTCTCTCTGATCCGCGCCGTTCCGGGATGCTCTCCCCACGCCGCGGGGTCGGCGCTTTGGATGAGTACGGTGACGTGGCAACCCCGATCCCGACCCCGCTCATCGCCGGACTAGGTGAGTACGCACCTCGCGTATGGGGACTCGGGGCATAACCCGATCCTGGCGAAAGAAGCAGCGGTGTGCCCTCCCCCCCAATCCTTCCTTCTGGGGAGTATAAACTCCGATCTATTCCCCCCCTTCCTTCTGAGGGGTGCGACTGCCAATCTCCTCCACTTGCTTCTGGGGGGTATAAACTCAGATCTTCCCGCCTGGGAGTCACGGAACTCCCTCGCTGATCGGATCTCAACCGGTCAGCCGATCCACCGTCAGCTCCCAAAACTATCTCCCTTCTCCCGCCATCCTCCCCTGCTTCTCCCACGGGCGATGGCGATCTTCCCCCATCCGTTCGCCACCTCCTTGAATCCATCTTCTTCTTCTTCTTCTTCTTCTTCTTCTTCTTCTTCTTCTTCTTCTTCTTCTTCTTCCCCTGCTTGGCGCGACCCGTACGCACCGTAACCTGCTCCTCTTCCCCGCTCTTCAGCCAATACTATAATACCGTTCCTCAGGGGTTCTTCTCTCTCTCTCTCTCTCTCTCTCTCTCTCTCTCTCTCTCTCTCTCTCTCTCTCTCTCTCGTCTGCTTCCTTCTCTCCTCCTCTCAATTCTCCCTCCTTCCTACTACTCTTCCTACCCACTCCTCCAGTTCACCCATTTCCCGCCATCTCTCCACTCAGATCCGATCACCATTCGCAAAACCCGATCACGAACGAACCAACATCCCGCCAAATCGTCCGATCAAACTCATGCAGGCCGCGCCGGCCGTAGCCGTTTATTTACCAAGCCTATTCTGCTGCCAATATCATCATCAGAGACTCCTCACACAATGCCATCAGGGAATCACCAAACGGCGCGCGCTACTCCCATGGCACACAGCTCGGACAGCCCCCCTCCATCGCTGCCCCAAGAAGGCTGATTCGCCGGACGGGCCACCCACCATCCTCACCTTACATGGAGGGCATAGACGCCCGCCCTCCAATTGGCCGCAGAAGCAAGAACCCCACACACCGCACCGCCTTTCAGAAAGCCGGCAGCTAAGTTCTTTCTATTCTGTTCTGTGGGCCTCGCTCCTTCGCTCCTCCGCTCCACAACACTCTACATGCATTTGTCCTCTATCTCGACCGGATGCATTCGTACGAGTGCGACATTTTGAATGTATCAGGTCCAGCAGGCATCCAAATGCATATAGAGAGTTGTGTAGGGCTCCGCCCCATATTTCTATTTGGAAGGTACTAGGAAGGAAACCCTGGAGGATCGATCCACCGCTCGCCAAATGTGGAAAGGACAAAACCCAAAGGCGCGTATATTTTTTTGGGCCTCGCCACGCGGCACACGAAACAGGGGCTAGGTCCCACTTGACCGTAGATAGCGAAGATCGACGGCCGAAATCTCCTAATTTGCGCAAGTGGGACCTTGCCCCGGAACAAGTGCATCCACGGAGAGAAAGGAGGAAATATACATTGGTCACGGAGGATTCCAATGTATGCGCGAAGATGCACTCGTTTTTCTTTTCATTTCGTGTACCGTACGGCGAGCCCCTCTCGACCCACTACCTGAAGATACCTGAAGATACGCTCGCCATTTTAGGAGTGCGAGGAGGCCCCGCCTGAGACGAAGCTTGTTCCCAAAAAAAAGGGAAAAGAAAAGAGAGACGAAGCTCGTTGCCATGTTGTCCTCTGCTGTCGTGTGGCGGGATACGTGCTTTAGGTGGTCAGCAGCCGCTTCCATTTTTTTTATTTTTTATTTTTTTTAATAGAAGACTCAGCTCATTTATTATGCAACACGGAGGCCGGGAATACCTCCAAAAACAACCCGGAAATCATATAACCAAGTACTGGGACCATTACCCAGCTTAGGTGCAGGCGTTGAGAATTCTAGTCCAGTTGCAGAATGGCCGAATCCAGACCGCTGCACTGACATTCCTCAACCCTGGGAATATAAAAAAGTCCGCTACAAGGCCCAGAAAAAACAGAACACAAACCCAAAAAATTCCATGCAACTACAATTTTATTTTTTTTATTTTTTTTCAAAAACTCCATTCAATTTCAAACTCAAAACACCATTGAGGCCGGGGCCCTCACAATTCCACCTGGAGTTATCCCGGCAGCATCAGCCGGTTTAGCTTAGTAAAACCAACTTCAACACGTGCACACATATCTCACTACAACAACTATCCTTCTAAACCAATCCCCCTACACCCTCCCATACTTGCTATATATCAGCCTCTCCACTAACCTACCCCCCCTCTGCCTACCAACTAAATCAGGTCTAACCCGACCTGAGAACCAATCTAAAGTCGATCGGTGGGAACTGGTCCACCTATCAACCCACTCTTGCTCTGAGTCTACCGCGACTAGTGTCCATCCTAAATGGCAACCGAGTAGTCAGGTTGCCTCACATCCCTCCTCTATCTACCAACTCTAGTTATCCAGCCACAGGGCCGTTCGCAGCTTTCCTTCCGTGATACAAGCCAGCGCTCCTGGTCTCACCCAGGTTTTCAGAAACCAGCGTTCACCCGCCCCCCTGTCTCCCTGCAACACCTTCCTTCTCCAGTCTGCCCGGATCTCTGCCTTCAACAACGTTCTGAACATCTTCTCTGCCTGTTGCTCCGTGAGTTCTCGAGACTGAAACCTTCGGCCATTTCTGTCCAGCCAGATCACCCACATCATAATCGCCCTGGCAACTTGCGCCATGTACCCCCAGCCTGAATCGATTGGTACCCGTAGTGGCAGGAAGCCCTGTAGAACCCAGGGCATATCCTGTGCAAACTTGGTACCCGACATCTTCTCCCAGTGAGCAAACCACCACAACCACCATTTCTTCGATCTCGGACAGTCCCACCACAAATGGGTCATTGTTTCCAAAGCCAAGAACACCTATCGCACTCCATTTGTAGTTGCATACCTCTGGAGCTGAGCCACCTCGCAGTTGGAACCGCTAGGTGAGATTGAAGCCAAAGAAGAGAGGCTACTTTATGAGAAGGAATGACCGCCAATTGTTTCCACAGCCGACCACCAACTGTTCTACCGTGGGGACTGGTACAAACGGTTGGGACTGTTCCCATCTGGGGATAAGTTTTCCCACCGTTTTCTTTAACTTCACTCGATTGCGGCCTGCCATTGCCATCTTCAGTTTACTCAGATCTTTCACCACCACCTCTCCAAACTCCCATCCCCACATTTGTGGGTCAATTCTCAACTCTCGAATTGGAGCCCCACCCGCAACAATGTTGTGGATCGACTGTCCCTGATTGTCCTGCCTATCAACTGTCCTGATTCGAACCTCCTTCAAGCCACTCAGTCCCCTACGCGTCACAGTTTCAATCGCTTCAAGCGTTGTGGAGCTGGGAGTAACTCTTGTGAACTCCTCCAAGCTGCAGTTGCCATTTCCCCTCTCATCCCAGCTTCTCAGACAGAAAAACTTATTGTATTCCTCCCCTTGGGTTCCTCGATACCACGAACCCGGGGGCTTGATTCCGGCTGGACCCAAAAGCTGCCTCCATTCCACCGGTATTGCTTGAATCAGAGAACCCAATCTCTCAGCTTGATAAGGGAGGCGGCCTAATTTCTCCTTCAGATGCTCCTCTGGATGCCAGCAGTTTGTCATCTCATCCCACAGGTCCCCCACTGTCGCAACACCCCGTTGTAACCATTTTTTTCCAAATGCCCCTGGAGAAGAACCGGCTGAGAACATGCGACCCTCCGAACTTATTATTAGAGAGTTTTCGAAGAGCGGTTGTGCTTTCACCTCTTCTTTCGTTCTGGGCTGTGTGCGAAGGTTCGGCTTTACCTGCTTCCAAGCCTGGATTACTTGATTCCAAAATGGTGATTTAATGTGCTTATTGAGAAAGGAGTCGATCATCATGGCCAGCCATACATCCGAGGGACGGCTCAGGCCCCATTCATTCATCAAGATATATTCCGCCATGAAACACCAGTCCGGAGGTTCCTGCGCTTCTGCCACTTTGATTAGCCAGCTTGCCAGCAAGGTAAGGTTTTGCGAGCCTGGATCTGTAATAGCCAGACCTCCATCCTCTTTTGACGCACAAACTGTCTCCCAAGCCACCTTAGCAACGAATCCCTGGTTGTCTTCAGCCTCTGGTTTTCACAAAAACCGTCTTGCAGCTGCTCGAATCACTTTGAGAGTGGAGTCCGACAGTTTTATCGTGCGCAGTACAAACCAGAGGATGGAGAACGCGGACACCGTGAGCACTAATGCTCTGCCCACCAACGACAGATGCGGGGCTCTTCCCCAGCTCTTAATAGGCGCCAAAACCCTCTCTTGGAGGATCAATTCTTGTGAAGAAACAGAATCCCTCAGGGAAATCATGACGCCCAACATCACCCATTGGAACCCTCTGCATACCCCATTCTGCTTGAAACTGGTATTCCTCCGGAAGAAAGTAAGACGACTTGTTCCAGTTAATGGCTGCTTCCGAAAGCTCAACATACTGGTGTAGACAGAGCCTCAGCGCTTCTAGTGAGGAAGACGTGTTCCGTGAGACGGCGAAGAGGTCGTCAGCTAGCGCTTTGACCCGACATTCTCTTCCGTCTTGCAGTTGCAGTCCTTGAATTCTTGGGTTAACTCTAATTGCAGACAACAGAGTCTCGAGCTGCAGAACAAACAGCAAAGGTGCAAGGGGGAAACCTTGCCGTAGGGAGCGAGAGAGTTGAAATTCCTCTGAACAGACCCCATTGACCTGGACGACCACAGTTGAATACGCTTAGAGAACTTTAACCCATGGACAGAAGGCGGAACCAAACCCAATGACCTTTAGAGTTGTCATAACAAACGTCCAATTGACTCGGTCATAGGCTTTTTCCAAGTCTATCAACAACACTGCCACCTCCAGATTCCCCTTTTCCAAGATCTCCAATGCTTCAATGGTCGTCAAGATATTTTCGAAAATTGACCAGCCTTGCACGAAGGCGCCTTGATCTCCGCCGACCAACATAGGTAGACAGCTCCCCAGGCGTCTAGCTAAGGTCTTCGCCAGCAGCTTGTAGATGACATTTAGTAACGAGATGGGTCGCCAGTTCCTGATATCCCTTCTGTCCCCCTTCTTATAGAGCAAAGAGATCACTCCTTTCATTATGCATTTTTCCAAAGTTCCTCCTATCAGGATATCATTGTACAGTTTAACCACATCTGCCTCCAAATCCGGCCAGCAGGTAATGAAAAATTCTACTGGCAGGTAATGAAAAATTCTTTGAGAATCTCTTCCCACCTGGCCTGCTTCGCCGTCTGCAGCTGCTCCCATTCAATAATTCTTTGGTTACGCTCTTCTGCCCAAACCCAGTCTGAAATCGGATGTCTGCCCATCTGCTTCTCCGCTTCGTCCACCCTATTACGACAGTAAGCCTCTTGCTTATTCCTCGAGAACGCTGCAATCTTGGAGAAGACTTCAAATTTAGCGGAAATGATGCGAAGGCCGGCATCCCACCAGTCATGATAGTCTGTAAAGGACTCCTTTGAAAGTTACCAGTCCGACCAGAATCTTTTCACCCACAGCTGCCAGCCCTCATCCTCCAGATTCTGTATGTTCAACCTAAAGCAGCCCGGGCCTCTTCGTTCCTGAGCTGAAATGAGTAATTCCATTCTTACCGGTTTATGATCGGACATAGAAGCATTCGTTTCTTGAATCCACTATGCCCCGTCTGAGAAGATTCCCTTCGTGAGAAAGAAATTCAGTCTACACTTTGCTCCGGCCGCATTCTGAGAGTTGGCAAACCAGGTAAATCTTGGGTCCTTGG